CATTGCTGACTTTAGGCCTGTGGCTTATTCCTGAGAGGAGACATCCAGACAGGATATGACATGGAGGCTCAGAGGGGATTAATACCCAGAGAAAAGATGACCAGTTAAATTTATTCTTTATCTAAGTATGTGGTTTGCTTCAAGATAGTCATCTTGGAGGTTGGCTGAAGTTTCCACTCTTGCTTAAAACCTCAGACCTGAGGTCAGAGGGAAAGAAAATGGGAGGACCTGAGTGACCTTTTCAGTTGGACGGTGGGTCTCACCAGGCCAGAGTGTACAGTAGAATGTTGTGGGTTTCTCTCAAGACACTGAACTTTTTGTTTGGGCCCTTAGGTATCAGCCCCAGTGTTTAAGTGTGGAATTGAGATTTTTATTTTGAGAGCTTTAAGAGTTAAAGCTTGTTTCCCTTTAATACCTTGAATTATTATTTGAGAAAAGCCATTCCACAGCATCATAATGCCACTGACATATCATTTGTCTCACATATCTTTTATTACAAAACTAAACATGATACTTTCCTGATACGTTTTCACTAAGGCTGACTTGGATAATTTGATAGCTTACTGTACATTTCATAGAAAGTCAGTTTTAATTGTAAAATAACTTGCAAATCATGTTTTTCTGTTGACATCATTTTCATTCATTGGCTGATCAAAATGATCATACCTTTCTTTTTACTTTCAATATTTCAGAAAAATATGCCCAAATTCAACAAAATTCCTTTCTACCTCCAACCTCATGCATCTTCGGGAGCAAAAACCTTAAAAAAGTAAGTAAATGCAGTGTTACATGATGCCTTGATCTCATTAATGGCCAGCACTTTGTTCTTCTTTATGATTGCTTTCATAGTAAAGGATAACTAAAGCAGGTTTTGTGATTCTGAAAGCTTATACAGTTGAGCGTTTACCAAATACCTCCTGTGGTAGGCCACAGATGTTCAAAAGTATAAGACTTGTTTTTTTTTCTCTTGCCACAGCATAGTTTAGGACACAATGTGTATATAAAAATTGCTTTTATGGATACTTAGGGAGTCATGGGAGTAGGGGAAAGAAATGAATCGTGGGTTGGAGTTTCCGGAAAGTCTTCTTGAAATACATGGAATTTGAGCTGGACATGTAAGAAATGGATAGAATTTCAAAAGAGAGTTATTCCACGTCCAGAAAATGGTTTGAGGATTTGGAAGTAGAAGTATACACAGGATCCTGAAAATTAGCAAGGACCGGTGTAGCTGCAGCAGAGACTCCAGAACTGGGAAAGGAAATTTGAGGTCTCATGGACGTGTATCTGAGCAAGTAAAATCTGTTAGGGGCATTTCCAGACATATACAAACAAGAGATCAGGGGCATGAACCCCCATTATCCCCTCAAACAGCTCCAGGGTCATCAACACACGCCTAAGCATTTTCCCTCACCTATGCCACTCCCTCCCACCCACCTACACACACATACACACCCCACATTATTTTAAAGCAAGTCCTAGATAGCACTTCAACCAGATTTAATGACTGAAGGTCAAGATGGCTTTCAGACTTTGAATCCGAGCTACTTGGGTAGGCCATTTTGAACTGATGTCAGTGATACAAGAGAAGTAGGTTTGGGGGTGAGGAAATTGATAAATCTGGTTGGGGACACATAGAGTTTGAGGTGCCCATGGGACGTGTTTCTGGAGATACCCAGCCAACTATTGGGCTTGTGGCCTAGAGTTTAGGCAGGAGGTCTTGGCTGTAGGGGCAGGAGCCACAGGAGAAATGAGCACCTGGGGAATGGGAGCCTGGTAAACACGGGGGGCTGCCTTCCCTCCCAGGAGCATTTAGTTTGCCCATCCTCTAGGATCATCTTTAAGGGAATAAAACCCAGCAGGCTGTTCTTGACATATATGTAAGTTTTAAAAACATGTATTTAATCTCACTTACATGTAATCTGTGTCTTTGTGGGACACGATGGAAATGTGTTGGCAATTCTGAAACTGGATTAAGGCAATGACCTAAACATTCTTCTTGAAATGTTTCCGTGCTTTGTTTTGTCTTTATCCAATGTGAACACCAAAAATATTTAAGAGATAACATCCAGTGATTCCTGATGGCACAATCTGCCCTTGCTTCTTAACAGAGACAGACTCTCTGCTAGTGACATGCTCCAGGTCCGGAAAGTAATGGAACACGTTTATGAGAAAATCATCAACTTGGATAATGAGTCGCAAACCACTAGCTCTTCTAATAATGAAAAACCAGGAGAACAGGAAAAAGAAGAGGATATTGCTGTTTTGGCAGAGGAGAAGATTGAACTTTTGTGCCAAGACCAGGTAAGTGCACTTGAGGACCCATAGCTCCATTTTTTCGTGTCGATGCTCAGAAAGTTACATGTGTCATTATGGTTCCCACGTCTGTTACCTTTGGGGGTACTTCTGCTTTTAGGAAGGCTCTAAGGAGTGCTGGGTCTCTCCCACCTATTGGTGAGACCCTTTCTGGAGGGGCTCTGCAGCCCACCCTAAAGTTCCTATTTACCCCAGGAAGATTCTCAGGAAAAGGACATAGAGATTGAAGTGCACACACAAAGGGTGAATGTGCTGGTGGCTTTTTTTTTCCTGACAAGAAAAAGACAAATAATCACCTCGATTGACAGAGCAGTGTCGGCCGTGTTGGTTTAAGATTTGAAGCAGAGGTGGGTGGAGCATTGGGGGCACTGTTTTAAATAAAGGTGCACTCGAGGCATCTCTTCAGGGGAACAGCTGAAGTTGGGATCTCCGGCCTAGCCGCCCAAGCTGCTCGTCTCTCACTGCCCGGATTCGTGTCTGCGTGCATGGGAGCTCTGTCAGCAAGAGCAGGCCACCAGGGGCAGGCGAGGGGAGGACGAGCTGGATCATCTGGTGAGAGTCCCTGAGTTTACAATAAGGGTCTTGGATATTACAAAGTAGAGGCTTTGACATTTATTATTACTTATTTTTGGCTGTTCAGGTTTTAGATCCAAACATGGACCTCCGAACAGTGAAGCACTTCATATGGAAGAGTGGTGGTGACCTCACCCTCCATTACCGTCAGAAGTCCACGTGAGGGGTGGGTGAGCGCTCCTGGGTATTCATTTACTGACCTTCCTCCTTGGCCCCGAGAGTAGTCCTAGGAAGCCCACCGAGCCCCAGCGGGAGCACGACTTCTAACGGCCGATTTGGTATGGACCGAGATTCTCTTTCAGTTGAAGTGACTAATTGCGGTGTAAAATAGAAACCAGTCTCCATGTGTAGATTAAGCTGTCCCCAGGGAGGCAGAGAGTGCGAGCAGAAAATCCCACAGGCACACTGTGTCCTGTGAGATGTACAGAGGACGGACGACAGGCCAGCACAGACTGGGCTTCTTCCTTTCGTTTCAAAGGACCTTATCTTCGTCTGTTAGCACTTGTAGAGACACATAGGTAGAGCCACATCTGTCACTGTGTTTCCACTTCAAACCCACATGCTCTGTAGCTTTTGTAAGAGAGTACATTCCATTCCTGCAGCACCTATGAAGGTTTTTTCCAAGTCGGTCATTAAAAACAAGTTGTTCTCACATTTAAGACAGTTATTTTTAATAGGAATTTGCTGTTGTACAATTCCAGAACCAGCCCATTTCATAATAAATTATACTTGGGCTCGTTTTAATATTGCATCTCAGATGCGTTCCTAGGAAGACCTGCGAAACTCTGGGTGCTGGCCCGTAGCACTTGGACCGCCAGACTGGAGTATGCCCAGTGGCGCCCAGGGCTGCTGTGCCCCCACAGTGCCCCCGGCTGTGCGGCAGCCACGGGCAGGTGCCACGCCTTCCCTGCTCCGCCGCGTCCAGCTTTGTTGAGGGGCCAAGCTACGTGACGCCACAGGTTCGCGCTTTGGGTGAGCAGCACAACACCATCAAAACTTAAGACCATGAGGAGAAAAGAAAAGGAAAAAAAAAAAGACCACAAGGAGATACTCACTTCATTTAAATGCTACCTAAAATTTATGGTGTCAGAGAAGGAAGGGTATCCTAGTGAGTTAATTTGATATTCCCCTCCTGGAAGTATACATACTTGTTTTCACCAGAGTTTTATATGCAGGTTTTTGTTGTGGTACCTGTATCCAGAGTTCTTTTCGTTGTTCTTTCTAACAATCTGAAGCTTTCATAGAATCATTTGAGTCTTGTACAGAATATAACTTATTGGGGATAAACACTTCAACTTTTGGCAGAAGAAAATACTTTGGATTCTCCCCAAGGTCATTTGTATTCAGAATAGAACAGTGGTCCAGCCCCGTACAACTACGGAAGACAAGCCTCCTGTATGAAGCCAGAAGCACAAGTGCCTTCAGAGGGCAGTTTATTCCAGTCCAGTTGCCTCCCCAGCTCACGTGCGGTCTGTCCCCACAACAGCAGGGACTGGGGAGGGGCTGGAAAGGGTTGTTTTCTTTTCTACATCTTGACAGGTTCAGTGGGAAGCAGCTGATGGGCCTAAGTCCAGACCTTTCTATTTGAGATATTCTTACCTGCACAACTGTAGAGACAGGGTTCCCTCACTGCTGGTCAGCTTCCTTTGGAAAGTGGACAGGTCACTGCCTCCAGCACTTTGAAGAAGTGAGCAGAGACATGCCACATTTCCAATGAGTCTTTCTCCCTTACACAGAGAGCAACCGGCTTCTTTTTTTAAGTCCTTTCTATCTGTTGGATACAACAGTGTGCTTTTGGTGCACATTTTTTAGCAATAGTTGTGAATTAAAGGCAAAAACAAACCCCACAACTCACTTATCAGCCCTCTGCTGTGTTTGCAGGAGGGGCCCTTGGGGTAAAGGAATAGGTTTCACTGGGCCATTTGGCCCCATGTGCCGAGACTTAAGGGGTGGCTGCACTCCCTTCCTGTCACAGATCTGACCCTCAGCATGCTTCTACTTTTTTTCCTTCCAGTCAAACCAGTAAGTTTCCAGAAAATCTGACAGTCTGCAATGCCAAAAGGGTAAAAATCTGTATTTCACAGTTGTATAGAATAAAGGCTTTAGTTACAGTATTTCAAAGTGTAGTACACCTTTATTTCTTTCACTTGTCATTTTCCTTCATAGCAGATTACAGAGAAACTTCTGGTTCCATGTTTACCCTGATAGTCATCAACGTCAGTACCCATTTTATCCCCCTGGTCAGGGCGGGGAGTATAGAAAAGTGAGAGAGGAAGAGCCAGAATCCTAGGGTGAGGGGGATGTCGGGCCAGACTACCAGGCTGCAGTTCAGGGAAGCTGGCCTCCAAACAGTCCTGTGGTGATTCTCTTCTACTTCCTGGATTCCTACAGGCAGGCACGGCTCCCAGAAAATCCCAGAACCCAGCTCCAGACCTGGCTTTGGACACACCTCCTCCCTGTTCGGCAGACTTATCAGCTGCCACGACAGGCTTGACGAGGGCTTGCTTCAAATGCAGTCACAGTGCTAGAAATTTGAAGAGTTTGCTCATTGGGGGCCCTCCCTGCATATACTTGATCTGTGCCTCCCCCCGAGCAGATGGTCCTTATTGTATGGGCCTAAAAGAACCCTGAATGCACTGTGTAAAGTGCCCACATTACAGATCAAGCTGCAAACGTGGGACTTTCAACTGGGTAGCAGCTAGAAGACAAAGCCAGAGGCAGCTTTTGTAGCAATTGGCAAGATGTGGGCAGGTGAGGGACTTAAGGACTTAAGGTTCCTGCATGGAGCCCTCCTCTTTCTGCAGCAACTAGGTAAAGCACAAGATCTCGCCCAGTCTTAGCCACTCTGGGCACGGGGGGTGGAGGGAACAGCCTCCCATACTATGGGAAAGAACAGAATGGCCTTTACCCACCATTGTCCAGGCCCCTCATTCTCGCTTAGGGTGGGAGCTGTGTTCAGGAAGTCCAGTCAGGACTGGCTTTGAGTCTGCTTAGGTCGGTGAATTTAAATTTGCAATCTGTATTCTACTAGGGCAGCCTGGATGCCTTGTATATTTAGAAGAGATGGTTGTATAAGTTTGGGAGCTGACAGGAGTCACCACGAGGGATACTGGGTTTGTGGGGTGTAGGCCCTGGGGAAGAAGAGACATCATGGTCCAAGAACAAGTGAGTCTCTGCTGACGGGGCTAGGATTTCCCTCTTCCCCCAGGAGAGATGGACAAGTACACTGCTTCTCTCCTCCAGCTGTGACCGGCAGATGTCAGTCAGCCTGAGCCAGCTATGCAGTGTAGCAGAGATGAGGATACGAGACTTCTAGAAGAGAAGGTAACTGGGGCCTCAAGGGTCCCCAAGGCGTGGGGCTGCCTTCTAGTACACACGGGGCTAGCTGAGCTGTACAAGAAGAATCAAGGCAAGCCCTAGCAAGTTGTAGGCAAATACTCCAGACCTATCCCTTCCTCCTTCACTCCACCCTTCAATCCTCCTTCCTCCTTCACACCTGACCCTGTGTGGACCCTGCTGCTGCCTGGGCAGCCATAGTGACCAGAGCAGGAGCAAGCACTGGACGTAAGGGTACAACGTGGCCTAAAGATGCTCTTGCCGATGGTCTCCTCTTCCTACCCATGGAGGCTCTCTGCCCCACCCAAGCAGCAGAATAGTCCTTTTCCTCTCCTACCCCAGCTCCTGCAAAACTTAATCTGGGTGCTGCTCCCAGCTCCCCACCACCCCAAAAGGACTTGTCTGAGACTCTCAAACAAGTGCCCAACTCCCCAAAGCCAGGACCACCAGGCAGAATCAGTGCTGGAAGGTCATCTCTTGGACACCGGCAGGGGCTATGGGCACACATGAGCTCCCGGGCTGCAGAAGTCCCTGCACAACCGGGAGCCACTGTTTAGGAAGCTGCACATACTGGGCCAGGATCAGGCAAGGGGCTGAGCTGCATAGTGCGGCCTAAGCGGCTTCCCCCCATCTCAGCCTCATGAAATGCCATCAGGGACCTGGACACAGCCTAGGGCGTTATTCAGGGATGGAGAGCAGGGCCTGGCCGCCTGCCCCCTCAGCCTCCGCCCCGAACTCTGGGCTCTCTGTGCTTGCCAGCTCGTCCTCAGCCTGCGCTTCGAGCAGCTCAGCAGACAGGCCGTCTTCCGGTGAGGCTGCCGAGATGAGGCTGTCGGGAAGAGTTAGCTGAGGCAGGTGGTCTGGTTGTGCCTGGGTGCCTGGGCTGTCCGGGAAGGAGACCTCAAACTCTGATCCGGACCATGTGGCCTCACCTGAGAAATACAGGGAGGGGCTGAGAAGGCCTGGGGCAGCCCCCACTGCCCCCCCCCTCCCCAGACATTGATGGGGAATGGGAGCTCTAGTGTCCAGATGCTTTCATGTGGCTGTATTTCACCCAAAAGCCAGCCTCCCAGCCAGCTGAGAAACTCAGGGCAACCTTGCCAACGACTCAGGGTCCTTCCCAAAAAGCTTGCGCAGGTGTGGGCCACTCACCACCACGCTCGTGAGAACCGCTGCTGGAGACGTCCTCAGGGCCAGAGGCTGAGAGACCCATGGATGTCAGCTCTGTGGCAGAGGGCAGGCCGGGCCAGACACTGGCATTGCTGCTGTCCAAGAGGGAGATACCTGACACATCCAGGAAGCCTAGGAGAAGGATGCAAGTCTCTGCCAGCACAAAACCCGGACGACTGGAAGGCCCATACCCTGGGCCTCAGGCCCCTGTTCCTGGAGCGCCTGGCCCAGCCTGAAACTGTAATCTCAGCCCAAAAGGGTACCCACTGCCTGTTGCTGAGGAAAGAAAAGGAGTAGCACAGAGGCAGAGGGCCCAGACCCTGCTCTGTCCCCACTATGCAGCGTGACCTCGAGCAGGCCGTTTCCCTTCTGTGGACTGCAGTCCCCCCACCGGCACACTGGACAGGCTCATCTGCGACCCTCTTGGCATCTGTGAGCTAGGAGGTGTCCGTGGGTCTGAGGAAGGTTTAAGCAGGGCCCTGGAAGCCCTGCCCCAAACCTGGGGCCCACTGCAGCACCAGGGATTGCAGGCCCCTCCGCCGCCTCTGGGGCCCACTCACTACCTGGGTCCATGACACGCTGCACTGGAGGTGGAGGTTGAAGAGGTGTCTCCATGGGATGTGGAAATCCCCCAAGGTCTGGAGCACCACAGCTGGGACTCCCAGGCTCAGAAAACTGTCCCTCCATGAAGGAGCCGGGTGCCTGCAGCAGGGCCTATGGGGGCCAGGGAAGAAGGAGGGAGCACGGTAGGGGCAGTTGGGACAGAGGAGTCCAACCTAAGCCCCAGCCCACAGTGGCCACAGAAGCACTGCTCTGCCTGATGGAGCAAAGAGCCGTGGTGTCCTGCCCTTACCCCACAGGAGATCTACAGTCCAGTACAGGAGGCCCGCCTGGCCTCTCTGGCAGTGCTGACGAGGAGGGAGCACCCTTCCTGGTCTACTGAGGAGCCCTGAGCACCCACCTGGCTGGGCCCCTCCAATGACCCACCTGAAGAGGAACCCTTGGCTGAATTCCAGCATGCCTAGGGAGCCATCCTCACATGTGCCCCAGTACAGACCCTAGGCAACAGCCCAGTGCCTGAAGGTACTCAGTGACTTTCCCACAGGCATGAAGGCAGGTCTGGCATTCCTCTACAGATCTGGCCAAACAACCAGCCCAGCCGGGGCTCTGGATGCCCAGCCTCTGGACCAGCCTGACCCCAGACTCCTCAAGGCACAGTACAAGGCTCTGTGCCTGAGCCTCTGTGTCCCACTCAGGAAATGAAAACAACAACTAGTGCCTTGCCATGACCCTCACCTCCAGACCTAAGTGTCAGAAGAACTAAAGTGGGCTTCACTGTCCCAGGATTGGACCACCTGCTTTCACTGGCCCCCAGAAGCACGAAAGGCCCCCCAAGGGCTCCACAAATGGGCCCCGGGTGACAGCAGCCTTGGGTCCTCCTTTCCCAAGTGGCAGGCCCCTTTGCCCATAAGAAGCCCCCCGCTTCCTCTCATTGGCAGATGCTCCCCACGTACCTCCATGTAGTCATCCTGCCTGGAACCTGTCTCCAGGCCTGAAGAGGCAGGAGAGTCCTGAGGGGTGGGTCCAGGTGGCAGGGCATCAGGAGGCGGGGCGTCAGGAGGCGGGGCGTCAGGTGGCGGGGCGTCAGGTGGCGGGGCGTCAGGTGGCGGGGCACCAGATGGCGAGACATCAGGTGGCAGGGCATCAGGTGGCGGGGCATCAGGTGGCGGGGCATCAGGTGGCGGGGCATCAGGTGGCGGGGCATCAGGTGGCGGGGCATCAGGTGG